ATCCTGGAGAATCATGGGAGAGAATTTCTCCCTTTGCCCCTGCTTGAAGGTCCCTGGCAGGACAGAATGAAGGAGTAAGTGTTGAGCAGAGGGTAGAGAGGAGTGCAACGGGGGAGAAGCCGAACAATACTGGCTTTAGCGGAACATAAAAGGGAAGGAGTGAGGGAAAATGATTCACATTTGCTGGAATTTAGGACACATGAAGAAAATAGTTAAAAATAAGACTAGAGAGGTGGAAATGACACAACGCAAAGGCCTCAAAAGGCAGACAAAGGGAATGCATACACTTTTTAGCAGAATGAACTCCCATAAAGGGTTTTTGAAGTAAATTGGAAGAAGTTGTGTTTCAGAAACTGTATCATTAAATTGTCATTTGTTTTAAAAAATACTGAACAATTACCTATTTCTAAAATTTAGTGCCAAAAAAGGTACTCTGACATCTTTTAATAGTATGATAGCAGATAAGTTGAACCACATCTAGGATTTTCTAATGTCAAAAGGAAGAAAGTTCAATCATCAATTTATAGAAAAATAGTGTAAATCCCAATCAGTGATTTACACTATTGTCCTTTCTCCTCATTATCAGAATACAAAAGAGCCAACTAAGGTATCTCTTTGATCCCCCCTAACTCACTGTTAGGAGCCCAGAGCAGAAAACAGTCCCCTAAAATTGAGGAATCAGTTAAATATCAGCAAGAAGCAAAAAGAGCAGATAGGTTTTATTCTCTACCTAGGTCCCTAGAGATTCACAAATATTATATTTAGTTGTTGATATAAACACTATGTTTCCTCTACATTTTTAAATACTTCTTAGGCTTATAATTTTATTTTTAGAGAGACTAATAGTCACATTTTCAGTCACTATGGATGTCTAATTTCTATTCACACATTGGTCTTTTTGCTACTGTGAGTTAAATTTCATCTTAAAGTGATTTTCTTCCTGCTGCATTAATTCTGTCTACCACACAAGCATAGTTCAAATCGTGTTGCTCTTCACAGAGTCTCCTGGGGATAAAGTGAACTTCACAGAGCCAATTTATGGTCCCCTATAGCAATTTTATGAGCCTCAAAGTATGGAGCCATCTCTGTATGATTTTCATGTACCTAAGAGAATCAGATTCAGAACTAATGGGATTTATCTCTGTATTATTTTCCAAGAAATGTTGATATTCCTGCTGCCATACTAGCTCAAAATGCCTGGAGACAATTTACCTTAAAAATACTAAATATTGAAAATAAAATCATTTTACATTAATCCTGGTCAGGTTGAGCAAGATACCCAGGTGTAACTGAGGTCTTTATTTGAACTAAATCCTGTTATAGAATTCTATTGTAAATGTGACCCCTAGCTTTTTATGACCAGGCTATAGTTTGAATGAAAAATCACCTCATTTAAACATAGTTCTAGGTAATGTTTTCCTTGACTTTTATATAAGGGAGTGTTTTACTGCAGCTGCTAGTGAATAAGGTACAAATTTTCAAATCAATGTGCTCAGCGCTTTTGAAGAACTAATTCATTTTTCATAAAGCTAAAATCATATAAATTTATTCTCAAGCATTAAATTCCTGGAAATATCTATTTCAGAATTCTAGTAGTTCTAATTCAGTCATTTGAACGTTCTGGTTATGCTCTTATTACAACAAAAACAAAACTGTTCATAAATGGTAATGATTAAAATAAAATATTTTATTAACAAGCATTAGTTAAAACTGCATGTCACGATAGAATGCAAAATATGTGTAGACGTGTTTTATCAGGCATCAGTGTAAAATTAAACTTAAGCAATTTTTTTATAGAAAGAACCATATTGTACCTAAAGGAACATTTATAAAATAAAGTGTATTAAAAAGCATTTCAAGGGTAAACTTCAGAATAACAAGATGCATATAAATTATCTATGTACATAATATTCAAGCAACTGATCTGATTATTTTAGTTATGGATTAATACAAAAATGTATATTAGAAATAAGTGCAAGGGATTGGAAAAAAATATGGTTGTATGTGTACTTACTGACCAGTGATGATAAAGCCAGTTAATGAGTGGCTATCTGTACAATGTCAGAAAATGAAAAGCTGACCAATCCCAAAAGTTTAAAAGCACACCTTAAAAAGATCTCACCATTTAAAATAAAAATAATAGTAATGAATAGTGGTCATTTTAGCATATTATGAGAAAAATATGTGACAGCAATAGCATAAAATGGGAGCAGGTATGAAAGTATATTTTGTGCAAATGTCTTAACTATTGTGAAGTGATGTGATATTATTTGGTGATAGACTTATAAGTTAAAAGATGTCTAGTAAAGCCCTTAAATAAATCACTGTGATAAAAACAATGAAGTATTGATAGTAAGACACCATAAAGTGAAGAAAATGGAATCATTTAAAGAAAACTTAACGCACTAGAGAACAAGAAAAGTTTTAACAAAGAGGATATGGGACATATACAAAGCCAATAAGCTAGTATGTTTAAGTCAAACTGTATTATTATGTTAAATGTAAATGGTCTAATTACTGAATTTGAAAAATCAAAAATTGGCAGTTTGAATTTAAAAGATTTCAATATTCCTCTCAGTGATTGATAGAAAAAAGTAAACAAAATATAGAAAAATTGATAGATAAAAGTAAACAAAGCAGAAGCAGGAGGTTCATTTAAGGTCAAAAATTCGAGACCAGTTCTTCTGGCAAGATAGTCAATGTTTCTAGAAAAATAAAATTAAGTTGAAAAATTATCTAGACGTCATGGCAAGCCTGTAGTCCTGGCTACTCAGGAGGCTGAAGTGAAAGAATCACTTAAGCCCAGGAGTTCCAGGCTGCAGTGAGCTATGACTGTGCCACTGAACTCCAGTCTGGAATGCGGAGTAAGACTCTGTCTCAAAAATAAATAAATAAAAACACAAAACAAAAAAAAGCAGTCTTGGTAAATTTAGGAAGACTGAAAAACATATGGCATATCCTCTCATCACAATGAAATTAAACTAGAAATCAATGACAGAAATGTATAAATCCCCAAACATGGAAAACAAACAACATAATTCTAACTTACACATGTCATAGAAGAAGTGCAAAGGAATTAGAGACATATTGAGCCAAAAAAAAAAATGAAACCACTATACATTAAAATTTGTTGGATGTAACTAAAGCAGTGTATACAGGGAAAATATTAGCAATAAATATTTATAGTAAAAATAATAATGATTTTAAATCAACAAATTAAACTTCACTCTAAGAAACTAGGAAAAGAAGAGCATATTAAACACAAAGCAAGTGGAAGAAAAAAAAAAGTCAAACATACAGATAGAAATCAAAGAAATAGGAAATAGAAAAGCAATAAGGAAAACCCTAAAAGTGAGTTCTTCGTGAAAATAACTGTAAAAATTGATAAAATACTATCAAAACTTATCTGAAGAAAAATTTTACAGACCTATTCTAATATCATAAATGAAGGGACATGACTTCAGATTGCATAGACATTAAAAACATAATCAATATCATGAACAACTTTATCCCAATAAACTTCAAAATTTAGATGAAATTAATAAATTACTTGAAAGACACAAACTAGCCCAGCTTACTCAAGGTGAAGTAGATAACCTGAGTATCTCGACACTTCTATTTTAAATAAATTTGTTGTTAACCTTCCCACAAAGAAAATTCTAGGCCCACAGGGTTTCATAGTTGAATTCTACCAAACACTTATGGAAGAAATAATTCCCATTCTACATAAGCTTATCTGGGAACTAGCAAAGGGGGAAACACTTTCTAGTTTATTTTACAAGGACAGCATTATCCTGATATTCAAACCAGAGGAAAAAAATTAAGACTACAAAGTATTCTTCATAATGAAAATAGTTACAAAAATCCTCGAAGAAATATTAGCAATTCAGAAATATTTTTTTAAATGCATCATTATTAATTACATTACTGAATGCAAAGTTGGTTCGACAATTAAAAATCAATCACTATAATTTATCAAATTGTATTAAAATGGAAAAGTATTTGCTGATATTACTAGATGAAAAAAATCACGGGACAAAATTCTATAATCATTATGATAAATATTCTCTATAAGCTAAGACTGGAAGGAACTTCCCCAAAATGAAAAGCTTACAACTTACATCATTTCTATCCTAGTGAAAGAGTGAACGCTTTCTGCTTAGAAACAGGAGCAGAACAAGGGTGCCTGTCCTCACCCTTCCTATACAGCATAGTACTAAAGGGTCTAGCTATATGACTTCATACATTCGTCAGATCTCACCTACTATAAAATTAAAACTGGTAAGTTTATTTTATATGTATTTTGCCCCAATTAAGCAGATTAAATATAAATGAATAAATAAACAGATATTCTGGAAATTAGTTAAGTGCAATTTAAATAGAAATCTACAATCCAGGATGGCAAGTGTATGATTTAAGTAAAAAAGGGGGAATAGTTTCAGTTTAAATGTCATCATTGCAAAAACAATGATAAATTCTGACATCAATAACAAAATATATAGAGGCATCATTTAGCAGTCATAGGGATTGTCCAACTGTACAAGAACTCTATGTGCAATTAAAGATAGATTTTCAGACTCCTGGGTTTTGAAACCAGGCTGTAGACCAATAAATTGTGTTTGATTTAACTACTAGTATTCTGCTCACCTCAACATCCTGGTCAAAGTGTTGTTTCCTGCTTTCTGTTCCTGGATTTAACCATGAACTTAAAATTGTATACTAGTCTTTGAATTGTTCATATTATCTTATGCTTTGAGTGGAGTCTGACTTTAGTTGGAAAACTTTCTTAGCCCAGTCAAGTTGACACACAAAATTATCCATCACAGCTAATGTCTGAGATGTGGTGCAACGTTTTACAAACGAGTTCTGTGTTTTCATTTTCTATTCCATTAAATTTTTCACCCCTGAAACAGGCTCTTATATTAGGCTGCTTTTGCATCTCTACAAAGGAATATCTCGGATTGAGTAATTTACAAGGAAAATCAGTTTAATTGGCTCACAGTTCTGGAGGCTGTAAAAGAAGCACAAGGGCAGCCTCTGCTTCTGGTGAGGGCCTCAGGAAGCTTAAAAGGGCAGCAGAAGCCAAAGGGGAGCCAGAATGTTGCATGGCAAGAACAGGAGCAACAGAGAGGAGGAGGAGGTTCCAGACAGTTTAAACAATCAGATCTCACATGAACTGAGCAAGAACTCACTCATCACCAAGGGGATGACGCTAAGCCGTTTGTGAGGGATCCGCCCCCAATCATGATGCAATCACCTCCCACCAAGTCCCACCTCCAACACTGGGAAACACATTTTAACATGGGATTTAGACAAGATAAACATTCAAAACATATCAGCTGTGAAGAATAGGCCTCTTCAGAAACTGTGTTTTCTTTCACTGTGTGCCTTCTCAATAACTCATTGAGGAGTAGCGCTGAAAAATTCCAACTTTAGAAATAGCACCGATAAAGCTTATGTATTGTTATGGTGAGGGTATACTTCTTATGTATTCTTTCTTTAAATATACAGATGTGTGTATACACATGCACATAAGCATAAGCACAACTATATTTCACTGAAAATTTCTCATTTTGCAAGTAGCAATGTAATTCAATTCTATATTTCTAGAATCACAGTTATTAAAAGTATAAATTTTTATATGATGAGCTTCATGTGCTTGGCTGAAGACCTCACATTGTTTCTAAAATTATAGGTAGAAAGTAGCTTACATCGTTATTATTCTCCTGTTTTCATAGTAGTATATATCCAATGTGATAAATTAATGGGCTGTGCTAATCAAAAATTCAATGAAGACTACAATGTCACATAGAAATTGCTGAAATCAGTGGTGAAATACCTTAATCTGTAAACAGCATCAATGGTACATTTTGGTAACTATTGAAACTCTATTAATAAAGCATCTTTGGCCGGGCGCGGTGGCTCAAGCCTGTAATCCCAGCACTTTGGGAGGCCAAGGCGGGTGGATCACAAGGTCAAGAGATCAAGACCATCCTGGTCAACACGGTGAAAACCCATCACTACTAAAAATACCAAAAAAAAAAAAAAAAATTAGCTGGGCATGGTGGTGCATGCCTGTAATCCTAGCTACTTAGGAGGCTGAGGCAGGAGAATTGACCAAACCCAGGAGGCGGAGGTTGCAGTGAGCCAAGATCGCGCCATTGCACTCCAGCCTGGGTCACAAGAGCGAAACTCTGCCTCAAAAATAAATAAATAAATAATAAATAAATAAATAAATAAAGCATCTTTGTATCTCCTGATGAGTCTGTTTAAGGGAAACCATTGCTGTTCACTGTTCCCTCATTCTTAATGAAATAAACTCTTAGGCCTTAGAAATAAGAAACTTGGCTGGGCACAGTGTTTCATGCCTGTAATCCCAGCACTTAGGGAGGTCAAGATGGGCAGATCACCTGAGGTCGAGAGTTTGAGACCAGCCTGACCAACATGGAGAAACCCTGTCTCTACTAAAAATACAAAATTAGCTGGGTGTGATGGCACATGCCTGTAATCCCAGGTACTCGGGAGGCTGAGGCAGGAGAACCCTTAAACCTAGGAGGGAGAGGATGTGGTGAGCCCAGATCACTCCATTGCGCTCCAGCCTGGGCAACAAGAGTGAAACTCTGTCAAAAAAAGAAGGAAGGGGATCGAAGTGGAGGGGAGGGGTGGGAAGAAGGGGAGAGAAAAGAAAAGAAACAAAAGAAAAGAAAAGGAGAAATATGAATGGGTGCAGACACCTGACTTGAGAATCAATAAAAAGGAAAAGGAGGAAGAGACCAAAAGGTGTGTCTCCATTCCCAAACGCGGCTAAGACTCCTGCTCATTCAGTGCTGCAGGCTCAAAGGTAGGAGAGGAGAGTAGAGGAAGCAGGGATGTAGAAGCCAGCAGTTTAATCTGGCTCCAAGATGGTAGAGGGAAATCACACAACAGCGCGAGAGCATCTCTTCCTCCCACTCCTTCCTGTGCTCCCCACAGTCAGTGTACCCTTAACCAAGTCACTGGTCCACCACGGCCCTGGTTCTGATCATCCCTCTTTTCATCCTGGTAGATGTTCATGGTAAAAGGAATAAAGTTTTGCAACAGAAGATGTCACCGGTCACACCTCCAAAGGCAAAAAGGAAGATAATTCACTTAGCTAACGGGAATGTGTGATTTCTACATGGAAATAAGTCAAATTCACTGGTCCAAAGAGGAAAGTCAAATGGGAGAAAAACCAAAGGAAAGCAAGGATGGAGATGCCTGTTTCCGTCTCCTGTGTAACATGTTTTCTAAGTAAACACAACTGCATTTTTCTTCAAAATCTTATAAGAAACTATGCTAATGTAAACTATATACATACATATGTGTATATACACACTACTAGTTGAGTTTTTAAACATTTCTAATATAGTCACAAGTATCAGTCATGAACATAGTGATGCCTGAAAGATGTTCCAATTACATTTCAAAAGGATATACACTATCAGAATGATAAAAAAAAGAAACTGTGCTAGTCAAAATACTTCCATTTTCTCACATTAATCCTGAATACACAGGTAGTACTTTCATAGGGCAAGCTGGGGAAATCAATAGTGTAAATGAAATATCATTGGCATCCTTTTCTCATCTCAGCTGTGGCATAAGTGAAGAGTGGCAATGTCTCAATAAATAATGTTGAACTTCAGTCTCTTTTACCCTCATTCCAAACAGATGAGCAATTTCTGAAAAGCAACTATAGAAGATTCGCTTTTACCTCTTCATCAACAACATATAAAAATGAAATATATTGTGATATTTATTACCCTGTGTATTACAAACCACCATGGTGATCCAGTACAAATGGCTTTTTTTTTCTCTGTGGCACCGACCTTCAAAAGTGATGATGTGAAAAGCCTAGACTTTATGACAGCTTAACTAGAAATACATTACAGCTGCTCTATTAATATGTACTTGTGGCTTAGCTATAAAGTTTGAATATGAAAAGAAACTCTGAACCCGTGCTCTGCTATAAACTTTAAATATGCAGAAAAATATGTTCATGAAAGCAGCAAGAGGAGGTTGAGATAATGTTTATGTGAAATGATGCTGCCTCTTCTTCTCAACCTCAAAACCTCATGGTCGGTTTTACATTACATAAATTTAATGTCAGCAATTGAATGACTTGTATCAACCTTAGCACAGAAAATTAGAGAAGCTAGCCAGAAGTGCGCAATTATACAGATTCACATTATATGTGATTGAAACACCTTTATGTTTCTGTGTATGGTGATATGTGAATCCCTCAGTACGAATGAACTTAAGCTCCATGTTAGATCAATAAGTATATTTCAGCGATCAAATGCTGAGAAGTGAAAATTGATGGGCACTGAAATATTACTTTGAAACTATCAAATTCATTCCTCCTCTGTACTTTTAAAATATTTTCATATGCATAACTATTATGACACTACATCATTAGTAACTTATTTAATACTTATAATGACCTTTTTTTTTTGAGATGGAGTCTCACTCTGTTGCCAGGCTGGAATACAGTGGCACAATCTTCACAATCTCAGCTCACTGCAACCTCTGCCTCCTGGATTCAAGCAATTCTCCTGCCTCAGCCTCCCAAGTAGCTGGGACTACAGACGTGCATGCACCGTCATACCTGGTTAATTTTTTGTAGAGATGGGGTTCCACCATGTTAGCCAGGATGGTCTCGATCTCTTGACCTCATGATCTACCTGCCTTGGCTTCCCAAAGTGCTGGGATTACAGGTGTAAGCCATTGTCCCCAGCCACTGTGTTTGCTTTTAAGTAGTCACAATTTGTTCTGACATGTATATGATGCACTGGTGCATATCAAAATGATTTTTATGGATCTCAAATTAATTCACAAACATTCCTAAAAAAGGAACATTATTTATTATTTTCAGATGAGGAAGGAGAGCATGAGTTATGCTGCAGCAGGCATGCTCAAGCAGAAACACACTCAAGGACTTCACATCTATATCCATCTTTGCAGAAGCATCAGTTTTTGTAAATTATCTAAATAATAAAAATGACAAGGATACACATTAGCTTAATTTTTATATTAGTGAATATTATCTGAATGATGATTTTTTTAAAAACAATCAGCATTTGGTGTCCTAGAAGGTTATTTTCAAAAATGGAAGCAAAATATCAATAACTTATCTGTGAACAAAGTATCAGCAACTAAAAGACTGAAAGTATAAGGCTCATCCAGGTTGTTAATTTGGTTTAGGAAATGGTTTAAAACAGTGTGAAATCAAGTTAACATTATAACATGAATTTAGGGTGAAGGAAAAAAAGCAAATGACCTTTATGTTAGTAAGTCACCTACCGTGTTTCATACTCAATGCTGGCCATTTCTAACTTATTATTTCAAGTAATTCTCAAAACTTTTCAAAGAAAGATAAAAGTAATAATAGCTCACTTTTACAGATGAAGAAATAACTTGCCCAAAGGTCGCACAGCTGACAGTTGTGAAGCTCAGAATGGAACCCCAGTATGCTGAACTTCAAGAGAAAAGAGCAGGTAATGGCCCCTGACTCTGTGTGGAACCAGAGAGAAAAAGCTGTATTTTTAAATAAAAGTTCTATGCATATCAGAACAAATTGAGAAAAAAAATTATAGTAATCTGGAAAAAAAAGTTTAGGAGAAAGGGGCTGAGATAATAATTCTGACTGATTTAAGTTATTTTATTCTGATTTTTTCTTTACCCTGTATGCTTTATAACTGATTATTTTATTTGTCCTTTGAAGTGACATATTAAAAAGAGCTTCAGTTTAATCTTTGCTAATCTATTCCATGATAGCTAGAAATGCCTTATAGGCCAGTATCTATATCTAACCTGTCTAATGCTGTAGCCACCAGGCAGATGTGGCTATTTGCATGGAAATTTAAGTTAATTCATGTAAAATAAAATTTAAAATTCAGCTCCTCATTCACAGAAGCCACATTTCAAGTGCTGGACAGCCACAGGCAGCGAACAACTACCATGTTTGGCAGTGCAGATATAGAACATCCATTTCATCATTGCAGAAGGCTCAGAGCTGCTCCAGGGCAAGGGGCAGCAGACTACAGCCTCTGGGCCAACGCCAGGCTGCCATGTGTTTTACTAAATGGGCTTATTGAAGCACAAGCATGCTCATTTCTTTATGTACTATCTATGGCTGCTTTTGTGCTATCACAGCTGTGCTGAGTAGTTGCAACAGAAACCACATGTCCCACCAAATCTGAAGTTTTTAATATTTAGCCCTTTACAGGAAAAGTTTTGCCAGCCCCTGCTTTAGAAGATGAGTATCATGGGTGTTTGTAGCTCAGGTTCTGCAGATCAACATAATGGAATTTGAACCCTGTCTGTCAAAAATTTAATTAAATTTGCCTAAGCAATTTCCTCAATTGTTTGTAAAATTAGAGTAGTAATAATAACAGTCATAGATATATGTATACATAATACTGATCTTACATAGTTTCATGGAGATTAAATTAGAGAACGTATGTAAAATACTCAGTACAATGATCAATACTACATTGTAAGCCTTACCAAAAGTGTTCACTGTTGAATTTTTATG